TCCTTACCAAAGCTGAGCTTCGACTGACGTAGTCTTTTCATTATATCTGAGTCAATGTAAAAAGAAAACAGTACAATGTTATATCTTCAATGTTTTACTCAAATTGAAATGAAAGAAAAGCATTACAACGTTTGTTAAAAGGTAATCCTTCTGACATTGGATGAATCGAATTAACTGTAGCTCTCTAGCTAGTTTATTCACGCAATTTAAACCAAAGTATAGCCTATAGCTGCAATATAAGTTAGTGTGCATGTTGTCGGACGTCCACTGACTAACGTAGAGCGTTCACACAGGATCTGCTGCTCATATGATGTCCTGATGAACAGAAACACAAGCAGCCCGCTGGACTCAGATCTCTAGATACCTCATCACTCCTTCGCTGATCCAAGTCCGGGCTGCGGTGGTTTGTTGATACATGTCTTCTTCTTCTGTTTGCTTTAACAGAGGCTACGTAGTTATGCAGCGCCTCCATCGTCAGTAAATGGAAGTACTACAAAGAACCCCGTTTAGTGCAATTATTTCACAAGTTTTGTTATAGACACAGCTCGGAAAAAATTACCGAGGTCCGGACCTCGGTGATCTCAATGGTGGATACGGCCATGCAACCAAGGAAATGCTCTTTTCAAAAGCTAAAAAGACACCAGAGCCTGTTTTATATATTGTAACTACGCAAGGAATACAACTTGAAGTGGTTACCTGTTACAAATACCTTGGGTATCTGGCTTGATGATTGTCTCACTTTTAAACTTCATGTCAATAGCCTGCTTAAAAAGCTGAGGGTTAGGCTAGGTTTCTTCTCGCAGTGCTTCTCAAAGTGTGGTCCGCGGACCACTGGTGGTCCGTGAGCGCCCCCTAGTTGTCCGTGAGTATATTGGTAAAATTTCACATTTGAAATAAATAAATACATTTAAGTTTTCCGCACTCTCGCGGGAATATCTCCTCAATGGAGCGTACTTAAGTTTCACTTTTGATTGCATGATATAGCCCAGATAAACACCTTCATCACACATGTGGCCACTTGTTTGTACCATTTTCAGGCGATTTATAAAAAACGATGTGTTTTTGGATATTTGTGGAGTTAGTTTTTTTATTGGTTAAGTGGTCCTTGGTATGAAAAAGTTTGAGAAACACTGTTCTACAGGAACAAGTCCTGTTTCTCGCTTGAGGCCAGGAAAAGGCTAGTCACTGTGATCTTTTTACCTGTGCTGGACTATGGTGATTTGATTTATATGAATGCACCTGCCAATTGCCTGGTCAAGTTAGATGCTGTGTATCACAGTGCACTGAGATTTGTGACAAACTGTAAAGCATTAACCCATCACTGTACCCTGTATGCAAGGGCTGGTTTGCCTTCGCTAACTGTACGGAGGCTCAGTCACTGGTACATTTTTATATACAAAGCCATGTTAGGGAAACTTCCATCCTACATCTGCTCCCTGATCTCACGGCAAATTGTAAGTGGCTACTGCCTGAGATCGCATGCTGTGTTTTTATTATATGTGCCAACTGCTAGGACTGTCTTAGGGAAGATGGCATTTAGATGCGCAGCTCCACTGTCTTGGAATAGTCTGCAATTGAAATGGAAACTGAGCAATCTGGTGCCACTAAATGTTTTTAAAGCTTGGTTGGATGCTACTCAATCGGAAGCTGTTGGTACCTGTTCATGTGGATAGTTATGTAAATTCTAAATCCCTGTAATGATGCTGTATGATGTCCTTTTTGTTGTTCTGTTTATGTTTTTATGTTTCATGTGGAACCTACTTGAGCAGGTCTCCCTTGAAAAAGAGATCAATGATCTCAATGGGATACACCTGGATAAATAAAGGTTTGAAATGAAATGACGTCGCTTTACCGCACCGTTGTGACAAAATAGAGCTGAGCCAGAAGGCAAAGCTCTCTGTCTACTGGGCCATTTTCGTTCCTACCCTCACCTATGGTCATGAAGGATGGGTCCTGACCAAAAGAACGAGATCGCGGATACAAGCGGCCGAGATGGGTTTTCTCCGCAGGGTGGCTGGTGTCTCCCTTAGGGATAAGGTGAGAAGTTCAGTCATCCAGGAGGGACTCAGAGTTGAACCTCTCCTCTTTCGTGTCGAAAGGAGCGGTTTGGGGTGGTTCGGGCACCTAGTAAGGATGCCACCTGGGTGCCTCCCTAGGGAGGTGTTCCAGGCACGTCCAGCTGGGAAGAGACCAAGGGGTAGACCTAGGACCAGGTGGAGGGATTATATCTCTTCGCTGGCCTGGGAGCGCCTTGGTATCCCCCAGTCAGAGCTGGTTGATTTGGCCAGGGAAAAGAAAGTTTGGGGCTCTCTGCTGGAACTGCTACCCCCGCGACCCGACCACGGATAAGCGGGAGAAGATGGATGGATGGATATCTTGCGATTATAATTGTTGATGTATTAAAATGTTTACCAAAGCTGGTAAAGGTGCAGCTACTTTTAATGACTTTGTATACTGCAGGGTAGCTTGTGAATTTACTCCAGGTGGAACTAAAGTCTGATTTAAGTTGCAAAATCTGTAAAGTAACTAAAGATATAAACTAAATATAGTGGAGTAAAAGTACAATATTGACCTCTGAATTGTATTGGGGTAAAGGTACAACGTATGAGAAAATTACCAAGTAAAGTACAAGTACTTCAACTGATTTCATGGAAATGTATATAAAAATTGCTCTAAATATAGAGGAAAACTTGGCTTGGAACAATGGTTACCAACCTAAACTCATTAGAAAAAGAACATAAAACGAATTTCTGATAAGCAGAACTATATTTTTTCAAACTACCTTCTAATATTAGCTTCTTTCTTGAGAAATTATACAGTTTTGCTCTTTCAGCCTTTTTAAATGTATTATAATTTCAGTATGTACGGGAAAATTATTGAACCTATGAGGAAGGATCGCATGTATTTCTTCATTTTAAAGGTACCCTAGCCTGAAAGATATGCAATCACTGGTGTATACTATCAATGTGAGAGGGATATCAAAATGTTATATATATTTAACTGGCTGTAGAAGTTCTGATGCACAAAAAGGAAAAAGAAGATTCTCTGGGTAAAGCTTACGAATACTAACTGCTATCGCACGTACAAATTTGTGCTTCACATGTTATTTTGATCACTGGTGGTGCTCATACAATTTCACTTCATTGATAATATGTTATTACTGAAGAAATATATAAATAACACCCAATGAAGAAGCAGATGCTGTTTTGATTGTAGATTGTGTGAGGGTGTGTTTCTGAGTGTGCAGGTCCATGTCTCTGTTGGTTTACAGTATGTGTGTGTCTTGGTGGGATGGTTAACAACAGACCAGAGAGCACATATGGCCTGAACAGTCGGGGATGGAACTCAGAAATCCCTCATGACATGGCAGATAAAAATAAAAACGGGGAAGAGACACACTAAGAGATGTGGAAGATAGAGAATGTGTTCTACTGCGACATAGCAATAAAATATAAATTTTTGAGGATAATATTCAAAGAATTGTCCGTTTGTGTGTGTGCATGCATGACTGGGGAGAGGAGTGACATGTAATGTAAAAATGCCTGTGATTCACAACACAACTTAATATTACAAGAAATCATCAGTTACGAGTGCATTCAAGAGCATGTGACAATATTATTCAAATATTAGATCCTGCAAGTTGATTGGAGGATGCGAATCATTTTGTTGTCATAAAAAAAAGAAGAACTTTAGAAGTGCTAAAACAAAAAACAATTCCTTTTCTTTTTTCTTGCGCTGTTCTGTAGCAGGAGTATTTTTAACAGCTATTGAAGCACACTGATTTGTTACTTCTCCTTATTTTTGGGGTCTTTGAATGGAACTGAAACTTACAGTTGCACCTTTACGCGATCATGTTTAAAATAAAAATCACCTAGTACCCTGAAGTGTGAAATGTGAAACTCTACGTTGTTCAAAAATAGTTTTTTTCTGGAGTTAAAGCAACTGTGGCCCCTTACATTTTTGATTCTGAGATTTAGCTGCACACGAGGGATTTTAACATCCATTTTCCCTCCACCTGTATATTTTAATATATGAATTGAAAATTGAGTTTTGCCATTTTCATCGATTTGTACGTTTAAAAATAATTATTTCTGATATTTCAGTTGGATGTGTTTAGTTTTGTTATACTTTCACTTCATTTTGGTTATTTCTAACAGGAAATATATGATAACACAAATATAAAACCTGAAACGTTATTATTTTTTATAAGTTTGTGGTGATCATTAATGTGTTACTTAACTTTTTTTGTTTTTCTTTTGATGATTGTATGTGATCGTATGACTAACGTATCACTTTGCTTCCTTCTTGGTCAGATCACTACTGCTTAAATTGTTATCATTCATGAGCCACAGAAAATGACGTAATTGATTCCTCACATGACATCCTTCCAATTGATTTGTTTCGGTAATGGTATCCTGCAAATCACTACAACATTTTAAAGTTATGCTACTAAAACTGCCAGCTTTCCAAAAGTTTGCTCTGTAATCAGTTTATAATGTATGCATATGTGCAGAACAATGATGAGACTTTATTTGGTAACTATTGAAAATGTTTATCCTAGTGTAAATCAAGGCCCTATTTCCTTGCTCAACAGATCTGGTAGTAATAATTTATGATTCCAATTACTTTATTTACAATATAATATATAGCCTAACAATTTCCTTAGCTGCATGTGTTTGAATGCATCTCTGGATATGTTGATTGCAAATGTATTTGTTTTTATTTATTTATAGAGTAAAACAAAACAAAAACAATCCTTGTAAGTCAGACCAGTAAGGTTGAAGCCTAATGAAGAAAATAGCCAGTCAACGGCAACATATTTATTTATTTGGGTTGGTGGAAATAGGGTGTTATGAACACCACACAGGACGGGTTGCAGGTAGTACCAGTCCCGTCCTGACCGGGATACACTCCAAAATCCACTCCGGGTTTCCCCTCTGTTTCTCAGCGGGCTCCTCACAGCCTCTAGCTGGTTTTTACTCAACTCCTGTCCTGATATCACTCCGCTGGCATGGTGGAGAAGCGGACCTGATTATTGTGATGGTGGCAGGCGGCAGCAGCCAGTGACTACAGACTTCCGCCACTGCTTCCCATATCCGCGTTTTACGCCGTCTGGGCTACTCTAGTTGCTTCACAACCTGACTACCGAGGGCGCTTTTACTCTTTCACCCAACTAAGCAACATCTTCACCGGGATTTCTTTCAAACCAAAACCATATGAGATGCAAGTTCACTGGGAAACTCCGGAGCCCGTTCGTTTCAGGCAGCAAAACTTTTTCTCAAAGGACAACACCGTAACACGGCGGGTGGACTGTTGCTGCTGCTCCGCGGGACGGTGTGTGTGTATATCACCGTAGAGTGCCTGCAAACCTCCATACCTTTGCGGTATTGTTGTTATTTTCAGCGGAGTTGTTGTTAGCAGCGTGGCAGCAGCTTTATTGTTCAGTTTGGGGCTTGCTCTCGGCTCACTCCGGCTGGGTGTTATTTGTGTTTTCGGGAGCGGTTTGTTTGGAAACATTGTCGAGGAGGGAAGAAGAGACGGTCATTCTCCTAAACATATGACTGCTCGGCTCAAAGCCCTTTAAACCTTCCCGGTTGGTGTTCGCTTCGGCGGCTCTTGTCGGTTCCACATTCCGTCCGCTGTCCGGCTGCTTGGGACCCTTCAGGGGGAGGACAGAGCGGGACACTCGGTAGTGGAGGTGGAGGAGGAGGTGTCCGGAGGAGGAGGTGGCGGTGGTGGCTTGACGGGGAGAAAAAGTTCTTCCAAAATAGCAGCCATTCGGCCTAGTGATGGGGGACTTCGCCTCCCCCGCTGCCGGACCCAACGGCAGTATCTGCATCAACAACAGCATGAACCCGGGCGCCGGGAACGTGGTGCCCGCCGGAGCGGTGGGCATACCTAAGCACAGCACGGTGGTGGAGAGGCTGAGGCAGCGGATAGAGGGCTGTCGGAGACACCACGTTACCTGCGAGAGCAGGTACCAGCAAGCGCACGCAGAGCAGCTGGAGATAGAGCGGAGGGAGACGGTCAGTCTGTACCAGCGGAGTCTGGAGCAGAGGGCCAAGAAGTCGGCCGGCGGCAGCAGCAAGCAGCCGCAGAGCAAGCAGCAGGACCCGGACTCTGCCTCCTCCACGGAACAGAGGAATAACACGCTCATAGCGGTAAGGACGAGCTCTCAATCACGGCCAAGAATGTCTTATGACACCCTTCACTCACACATAAACATAAGTATACACTCTGTCTTTCATTGCCCCTCCATCTCTCTGTCCCCTAAAATCTTTGACCCCCAATAAGCTGCACTACTCCTACTACTTGTTCACCACTGTGAAAACTTGTTGAAAACACGTTCACTGAGCGCTGGCAATTGCTTTGGAAACACACTTCACCTTTTCAAACCTGAGTGCCAACTAGTGCTTTTGTTTACAAAGGAATCCAGCCCCTCGCAGAACAAAACAGGCTTCTGAGGCTTGAATGCTGCAGGACTTGGAACATGACAAGCCTGACAGCTGATATTTGATATTTTGCAAGATCAGTGCTGGTTTGTGCTCAAAGGCAGAGCGTTTGGAAGGAAATGCTAATTGTCAAGTTTTCACCTTAGAAACTTCTAACTTACTTCTGGAGGCTGGCTGCTTCTTTTTGCATGAAAACAACTTTGTTGTGTATTTGGTGCAAATTGTTCTGCAAATGCAACAATGCAGGTTGCTGCATTGTTACTGAACATATTCACAACTTTTTGGGATTCATTCATAATTAACTGTGGAGCTTCACCATAATAAAACAGTGATCACATGACCCATTTCACAAGGAGGCTTCTCTTCTACAAATCTGCATGTCCTTGTAAAAAAAAAATGCAGCTTTAGCTAAAATAAATAGAATAACTCTCACTATCAGCTCAGTAGGTTTTACAGGCATGATTTCCTGTTGGTAGGGGGCAGTGGTAACATATGGAGGATTGTTCAGTTTCTTATTTGGATCTTGGTGAGAAGTCATTTTTTTAAATTCATGGGCAGCTCTTAAAATGTTGTAGACAGAGATGAGGACAGACACCTGCAAACTGTGCCTACCCCCCCTGTTTACTCCACATCTCTTGTAGAAAAGACCAAAGGATACATGTCGGGAATGTCAACATTGTTGTCCCTTTTGTTGCTGCAATGAGCCTAGTTCCTCCCCTTTTTGAAATGCTAAATCAGAACAACTTTTCATTTCTGAGACTGCCTCAGTTGCTTTTTAGGAGCAACGCAAGCCTGACCAGCTACAGCCGGAGAGAGCAGCAGATTGTAAGCGAGCAGGACCTCTCTGTGGAACCTTGTGGACATTATACCGAACCGCCCATTAGATGGCCGGCAACAAATGCTCAGAGAATGAAGGGATTACTGCTTAAAGACACAGTGGCCCCCCCTCTGCTCGGCTCTGCTCCCTGTTAATGATGGTGACACCTCAAATGCACACACACACACCATTCAATAGCTTGGTATTGGTACGCTTTTAAGTTATTTAGGCGTGAATTGTAAAGGAGATGAAAGGAAATGAGATAAAAAGCCTCCCGGTCTTTTCCTCTGAGGAACCGAGCTGCAGCTAGATGGCTGCATGTAGTCACTACAGAAGCAGGCATTCTAGGAAAGCCAAGTGTGTTGGCATTGTAACTACACACACACCACATACTCATGCACCCCCCTCCCCAAACCTGTGGGTGTTGTGTTACACACTGCTTTAGGAAGTAACTGTTGAGAAGGTGCACTTGAAGGCTGTTCCATTGAAGTTGTGTATGAAGATTTCAGTGTGCTCGGCTAAAATGACACCGATGACTCCTTGGGTGTGTGTTCTGTTGGTTTCCAGTGTCAATATGTGTCACTTTATTAAATGTCAGGAATGTTTACAATACAAAAATAAATAAATACATGAAAATCAATGTGTTTCTTGGAGATAAAAGCAGCAGGACAGTGTTTGATAAATAGTTTTTTCACCTATGGCAGATTGTAGTTATACATCGGAGATAATATACTTGTAATTCCGTGGTTTACACTTCCTTCCAAGTGATTTTCTTTAGCATTTGGTATTGTCTTCTGCTTGGTCCCAGTACGCTGCGCTCTGGTCTAATAGTTCTCAGACACACCCACATGGTGGCAGGGGCAAGCCTATAATTATAGAAAGCGTGTGTTTGTTTTTATAGGATAACTATTATTGAGAAAGGAAGAAAGACACTCGGAGCTTCTCCCTTCTTTCCCACCATTTCTTTGACAACCTTCATAGTATATTAGCATACTACAAAACATTAGATGCTTTCTGCCAGAGACCCTATGACACAGCGCTGGGATAGTCAATGATTCATTTACAAATTAAGAAGTGATGCACTCTTGACACTGTGTATACTCTGGATTTGTTGTCCACAAAATGCAGTAAATTATTGCAAGAAGCAAAGAAGTTGTCCAACTTTGGCACATTGCAAAAGCCCATAATTACAGTGACCGTGGGGGATACTGAAGCCGTGTTGTCCATGGCACGTACACACAAACAAACCTCATACTTACAAAGTGATGCTCAACAGTGTCTTCCACATGAACACAAGATTCACACAAGGCTTATTAATGACCGTACTAATTTAGTAGTTTAGTACATATTACACACTAACTTTGAAAATTGGTACAGTCAATTATTAAAAAAACGATGGAGTGTAAAGTGTGCAGGGGGATGTGCAGGGTTCACAGAATTATAAGGACAAAACAAATATCATACAAACGTTGGATGTTAAAGTTTTATGTGCACTGGAAAACATTTCAAGTAAAAATGGGCACATTGTCCTACACTATATAACTTAATTATTACAATTGATACAGTGCTGTATTGGTATTAATAAGATATTAATGCTGAATTGCACAGTTTAAGTGTTTGGCTGGTGGTGGTTGAGTCAAATAAAAGAAAATGTTTCTTCTTGCCTACACGATGAACAAGGAATCCAAAAACGGAAAAAACAAGAAAATGGGGGTTCATTTAACAATGACAAAACTATATCAAAATATCCGATTTTGAACTAACTAACTCGTGCAGTATCATCCAAGTATCATGTGTCCAATCGTATGCTTACTACTTCCCAAACACATGTATTTAAAAAAACGTGCTGTTTAAAACACTCAAGTGCATTACTTGTCCATGTAAGTACTGTTAATGCACGATTAATGATGATACGCATGGATGGCGGGCCAATCTCAGTCATTAAATCACACAACATAAAAAGAGATATTACTAGGTATTGTCCATCTGTGATGACCATTGCACTCTTGCACTGTTGTTGGAGAGATTTGTGTGTGTTGTTGTTATTTATTTTCTGTTATATAATTGCTAGATGCCAGCACAACATTCTAGTCTAAGTACTAATACTGATTGACTGTCACAAATCTGATACATCTGAAAAAACGTTTTCTATCGCTTAAACAAGTTATTTTGTGAAACTTCATTGTGGCTGTATCCAACACGTTATTGTGATGTAACTTTGTCTACATTTGGCTAGTTCCCTAAGGGCAAAGACAAACTACAGAACATGTTCTAGTACCTGTCATGTTTTCCTCGAGATACTGATGGAAGATCGAACTTGTGACCTTTTCGGTTACATACACGTGGCTCTGGGGCAAAATGGGTTAAATAAAGTGCAAAGCTAATCATACTAGCAATAAATAAATGTTTTCTGTCATACACACACATACAAAATATTTAGTCTACCTGTTATGAAAGTTGTATTTGCAAGAGGGTATGGCAGAAGGCATGGTTCATGTTGAAGTCTTTAAATATTTGCTCAACCAGTTTTCACCACAACATCGACTTGGGGCTAGTTGCCTAAGGGCATAGACAAACTACAGAACATGTCCTAGTAGCAGTCGTGTTTTCACTGAGATCCTGACGGAACACCAAACTCGTGACCTTTTAGTTAAAGGCACGTGGCTCTGCAGCAACGGGCTACGGTGTTGCTTAAAGAACGAGATGTGACCTGTACTTTCTGACAAAACATCCAGTCAGATGTGGTTACCTAATCGCTAACAAGTTTCGAGCTGAGGGGCCGAGGTGCACAGCGAGGGGCTCGTTAGTTCCTCTAAAACACAGTAGCTCAGGACAGTCTGTCTTCAGCTCTGCTCGCTCTTTGGCATCCACCTCGCCGAGGAATGTCACACACACACACACACACGCACACGCGCACACACACACACACACACACACACACACACACACACACACACACACACACTGGTGTCCTGCTCCACTCTTGGCAGCAGAGGCCGGAGTGTGGGCGGCTGAGTTTTCATGATTCCGAGGCCTTCCCCTCTCCCTCCCTTCCTCTGCTCTCCTCCCCTCCCTCTGTTCACTGCTTCTCCGGTTTCACCCGTTAGCACAGCGTTAATGTAGCGTAGATGGCTCTTGGTGGCTATAACATTGTTAGCGTCAACTGGGTCTGTCGCCCAAGTGCTATACATAAACCTCTGAGCTGGCATGGAGCTGACACTCACCAGTATGCACACGCAGAGTAGTGACGTCGATACACACTCGTGACATCACAGTCATGCTGTTTTCGACTCATGACACCGTGCCTTTCAAGCTCTCCCCTTTTGTCTTTAGCCTCGTGTGAGCTTTGTTCAATTTTTGCCACTTTTTTCTTTGTGCTCCTTGTAACCCTTGACCCTCAGTCCCTACACACACGCTACAAACTCTGGATGTTTTTGATTTGAGTGCTGCGGCCACATTCCCTTCCACCCACGCTTGTTCACATGTTCTGCAGGAACTCACGCACGTTCAGCACGGATCCTTGAATAATCAGGGGAGCAGCAGTCCTTGTGTTTCAGCTGTGATAAATGGTGTTTTTTTGTGATTTGAGAAAAAAAAACGTATACACCTGTCAGTGAGTTGTGGGGTTCAGAGGGTTAAATAAATCTCAACGCTTATCACACTAGTTCCAAATACTGGGTTTCTGTCATGTACACATTATTACTTACATGCGTAGTCTACCTGTCAAGAAGTCGATATTTGTATAATCGGTAATAGCTCAATAGCGTAGAGCAGAAGGCCATGTTTCAGTCTTCAAATATTTGCTCAACTAGTTTATGTGCCTTTTCAGTTTTCTCTCCTCCTGACAACTGCAATGAATTTTCCTTCTTAACACGTCATTTCTTAAGCTTCT